CTGTGAGAGAATAAATTTCTCTCCCACTTGTAGAATTTCTGTTATAGCAGCACTAGATAACTGAGATAGAATTTAGTACCAAGAGCAGGGTGCTGCTCTAGCAGATACCTAAAATGTGGATGAAGTTTTGGAATTGGCTATGGGTAGAGATTGGATGAGTTTTAAGGTGTTTCACAGTAAAGCCTAGATTTCCTTGAAGAGACTGTTGGTGGAATTACGGATCTCAAAGTTAATTCTAGTGAGGGCTCAGAGTGAAATGAAGACAGCTGTAACACTGGAGACAGCATAGACAGTGAGAAGCAGCAGCAACAAAAACAGGATGCTGGTGCAAAACAGCATGGGAGCCAACCCGTAGAGCAACAACCTTCAGGCAGGAGGCTTCCTGGTAGAGTGGGTTACCTCCAGACACTTGTTAGCAGAGGTAGGCTTGCTGACCCGTGAGCAAGAGAGCTGAGAGCCTCTGGGCCAAGGTTTATTGGTAGAATGAAGTCCCTCCAGGCATTCATCAATAAAGCTAAAGAGTTTTGTAACATTTGCACAAGGCAGAGGCCAGACCAGTTCAAGAGCCCTGAGGGTCTGAGGGGCTAAGAGGCCAAGCAACCGTGAAGCAGGCACTGAAGAGACAAGGAACAAAGAAAGCAGAGCTTTCTTGGTCTCACAGGATAGGGCCATGACCTCCACGGTTTCAAACTGTGGAATCACGGCTCGCTAGACTTCAAAAGGTGGGGCGACAGCTTCCTTGGTTTCAGAGTCAGATCTCCATTAACTTGGTTCCAGTACGGAGCTGCTATTCACATGCTGGGGGATGGGGCATGATCTGCTGTCCAAAGTTGAGGGGGCAGGGCTGCTGTGCACACGGGACAGAAAATGGGGCCTGCCAAGGCTGAGGAAGTGGGATTGCCACTCAGTTAGATTAGGAGAATGGGGCTGTCCAATGCAGAGAAAGTAGAGTTGTCATCCCAGTGGGCCTGGAAGGTGGAGCTGAACCTCAGGACTGAGGTGCCTCCATCCAGAATCCAGAGATCATGCCCAACACCCATATTGTAGAGGGCAGATCCACTTCCTACATGGTCTCAGAGAACAGACATTATTCTCAAGCCATGAAAGCTAATGTAAATTGTTCTGCTGGGTTTTGGACTTGTTTGGTGCCCATTGTCCCTTCTTTCCCTCCAATTTTCTTCCATTTGTGATGGAAATGTCTACCTTGTGCCTGTTCCACCATTGTACTTTGGAAACAGGTAATTTGTATTCTAGATTCACAGGTGAAGAAGAATTTTGCCCCAGGAAGGAATGTGGACTTGTAGTTGATTTAAGAGTTTGGGGATGATATGAAGGAGTGAAAATGCTTTACATGTGGCAAGGACATGAATTTTGAGGGGTTGTGGTAATTTAGGTTGTGTGTTAACTTGAATGGGCTGTGGTTTTGAGTGGCTGGGCAGCTGGATGTAGTTATTCCCTATGATGAGACTGTAATCACCTCCATGGTGGCATCTGCTGTGAGCAGTAAGGTGTTGCCTTCAGGGTGTGGCCTGCTTCCAGTATATAAGGAGAAGCTTTAAGAAAGGTCTCAGCTTTTGGCACATCTGGATCCCGCATTTGGCTGAGTCTTGGTCTACTGTCTTGCCTGATAATGTTGGGATTGTTCCTGGATTTGAGCCAGTGGTCTGCTGTGTTGCATGCTGATCTTGAGATTGTCCCATTTTGTTACCTGTTGATCTTGGGTTTGTCAGCCTCAGTAGCCAGAAGCTGTATGAGTCAGAAAAAGCCTCCAGCTCTAATGGACGTGCAACAGGAGGCAGACCTGAAGCCCAAGATTGAGGGATCTTTACCCAACCCCTAGAGCTGGCACTTTGAAATCAGACTTCTAGCCTCCTAAACTGTAAGAGAATAAATTACTGTTTGTTAAAGTCATCCACTTGTGGTATTTCTGTTATAGCAGCATTAGAGAACCAAGAGAGGGATCAAAGGGTGGAATGTCACAGATTGAATTGTGTTCTCCAAAGATATGTGTCAACTTGGCTAGGCCATAGTTCTCAGTGGCTTGACAGTTCTGTGATGATGTAATTTGAGAGGTATGTAATGGTGTAATCATCCTCCACGATGTGATCTGATGTAATCAGCCAATCAATTGTAAGGGAATTAGGGTGGAATGCAACAATCTTACTCAAGTCATATCCCTGATCTGATGTACAGGGAATTTCCCTGGAGTGTGGCCTGCAACACCTGTTATCTTATATGATATAAAAGGAGAGATAAAAGAGCACAGGAGGAGGGACCCAGTACCACAAAGAAAGAAGAGCTGGGAATGGAGTGTGTCCTTTAGACCTAGGTACCTGCACTGAAAACCTCATAGAGCCAGGGGAAGATTGATGACAAGACACACAGAGATCTCCAAGGAATGCTGGTCCCACAGATGTTGAAAGGAGTCAAGGATCTTCCCCAAAAGCCGAAAGAGAAAGCCTTTCTCTAGAGCTGGTGTCCTGAATTTGGACTTCTAGCCTCCTAAACTGTGAAGAATAAAGTTCTGTTTGTTAAATCCATCTACTTGTGTTATTTCTGTTATAGCAGCACTAGAGAACTAAGATAGGGTGATACTCATTCACATTGTATTCTATTTGAATTTTGCAATCCTGAGGCCTGTCATAAGCTTTTTTTGAGATGGGAGAGACTATTGGAGACCTTTATCTTCTGCAGCTGTTTTCAACTGCTCGCTGTTTCTTAGAATGCTTCATAAAGATGCATTCTGGTTTAATCAAATGTCACTGATGTCCATATTTGTATGCCAGAAAAAATAGGCTTATACCAATATCCTGGATTGTTTTGTTCATTTCCAGGCATCATACTTTAAGGAGGATGTTGTCAACCAGCTTTAAGGAGGATGTTCAAAATGTCCAGTAAGACAAAGTACTGACAGTGGCAGTCAAATGGTCACAAGTATTATTGAAAGTGTTTCTATGATTATATGGGGTAGTTTTGGTCAGTCTTCATAAAGCTTGAATTCTGCCTCCTTCACTTACTCCCCTACCTATTTCCAACTGATTAACAAGTCCTATGTAATCTAAAGTAAAATTCACATCCATTCAAATCCTTTCAACTCCATGGCTATCATTATTGGAAAGCCACTGTCATCTTTTATCTGTCCTATTGCAATAGTTTCTCAACTGATCTTCTGTCTTCTTGTTTCCACTCCTGTCCACCTCTAATCTATTTATTCTCCATGTAACAGATTCCAAAACTTCACACCCTTTCTCTAGTGAAAGGTCTCCTGACCTAAAAACAAATCTAAACTTTTGACTGTGTTTACAAGGCTGTGGATGATCTGGCTCCATTTCATTCCACTCTCCCTTTTTCTCATTACCCTTGAAAAACTCTGACCAAGATATGCCAAATTGTTTTCCATCTCAGGGCCTTTGCACAAATGTTTCCTCTGTCTGGAAAGCTCTTTGCATGGTTGACTCCCTTTCATCTTTTGGATCTCAATTTATTTGCCACCTTCTTAAAAAGGAATTTCCAGACAACCCAATCAAGAATAAGTTTCCCTGTAACTATCTAGCTCAGTCTATTTGTTTCTTTAAATTTGTAAATATCTGTTTGTTAGTCACATTCCCCTTTAGAATGTAAGTTTCATGAAGGCAGGGACCATGCTTATTAACTTACTGTATCCCTAATGCTTATCACAGTATCTAACAACTGTTGTTGTGTGCTGTTGAGTTGATTCTGACTCATAGTGACCCTACATGACAGAGTTGACCTATCCCATAAGGTTTCCTAAGCTTATATATACCAAAGAAGATTTCCAGGTCATTTCACCCATGGAGCAGCTGATGGGGTAAAACTGCTGACCTTTTGGTTAACAGCCAAGCACTTAACCATTGCACCACTGGGGCTCTGTGTCTGACATGTTCCAGGCAATTAAATATTAAATGAATGAAGAGTCTGGAAATCATTAAAAATGTCTTGTTCAGGCTCCACGAAAATTGTTAGCATCAGGAAAATATGTAGAATATCATTGTAATAGTACAAATGATGGCTTTCTTATTCAAGAGCCAAAACTCAGAAGACATAAAGAAAAGTTTATATGTTTCATTTCATGAAAATTAAAAAGTTCTGCATGGCAAAAGACAACTTTAATATAGTTTTTTTTTTAAATATAAGAAGTAGGAAAATTATAAAGAAAAATGAAATCCAAAGGATTGTTATCTAAAATATATAAAGAACTCATACAAATTAAGAAAAATACAACCCCATGGAAAAATAAACATCAATGATGTACAGACAAATCACAGAGAACAAAACAAAGATAAGCATAAATGACCAATAAGCAAGTTTAAAAACTAGAAAAAGTTCAAATACTCATAATAATAGGAGGAAAATATTTAAGTAACTTACTGCATTCATATTACAGAATATTATGAAGCCATGAAAAGGAAAGAGGAAGACATTTATTAAGAAAAAAGCAAGGATAATATGTACATGATCCCATCTAGAAGAATACATGCATATAAAACATACAGGAAAAAATGTGAAAGAACCCATACCAAACTACTGAATCTTTAGGAAAGATAGTGGGATTGGTCAGGGAAGAGGGTACAGGCTATGTAAAGTGGGATATTTACTTTTTATTCTACATGCTTTTCTAGTATTTTTTTTTTTTTTACAAATAAGCACATATTCACATATTACTTGTATAATACTGAAAACTGTATTATAGAAAACATATGGAAGTCATCTAACAATGTATTTGGTATATAGCATTAATTATACTCAGATCAAACAGAAAAGATCTGAACATCTCCCAAAGTCATGCAGAAATAGATCTAGGTGACTCCCCACATCACCTAAAAATGTTTCGGATTATCTTCAGCTCCACAGAGACTACTCTACTTCACCTATTCCTGCCCCTCTCACCACACTTGGATTCTTCTCCATTTGCTTAAATTATTAGCTGTAATTTAGATTACGACAAAATATATTTAATTATTGTACTATGAAATCTACCATTAGGTTATTTTCTTCAGACACAAGTGGATCCCATTCTTAGATTTGAGGACAATTTGAGGTGATAAGATGGGAGGTCTGGTGGGATCTGGAGTCACCTCAAAGTGGAGCAGAATCAAGGCCACAGCCACCTTTAGCTGAATCATGGCAAACTGCTGTCCGATGCAGTCCCTGCAGACATAGACAGAAAGAAAGCGATAATTGACAAAATGGTATTTCTTTTCAGTCTTTAAAGTCATTCACCTTTGAAGCCTTGCTAACTAGAAAAAGGTCTAATGTACATGGCAAAACAACATTTTTATACAAAATGCCATTGAGATGTTTGGACTTTGGACTTACATCATTCCCTGCAAGAATGTTACCGAGGATACTCCAATGTGATCCTTTTCCTGTAATAAAGGGGTACTTGGATGTACTTATAGATTATTGCTTCTGCATTAGGCAAAAAGCAACCAACAACTTGCATTATGGGATAGCTATCTGAGGGACAGTTATGTAGGATATGACAGAGAATAGCAACTAACTAGTATTTTTTAGAGTTCATATAGGGACCAAGATCTATTTCACGATCAAGTGAGAAGGTGAGCTTACATGGAAGAATTTACAGAGCTGAGAGTCTAAAGGGAGCGTGTTGTTCCCAAGTAAAGATTTTTGTGTATTTTCAACAATTTCAAATTGTACTTACCTTGGACCAGCTGAGAATGGTAAGAAGGCATGAGAGTGTCTCTGATCAGAATTCTCTGGAGAGAACCTTGAGGGGTCAAAGACCTGAAATGAGAAGGCAACCCTCACAAATCCCACAAACACCATTAACACATTTCTTAAGCTACTACTCAGTGCTGTTCATTAGAAATATAATGTAAGCCATGTATGTAATTTAAAATCCTCTCATGACTATGTTTTGAAACAAGTGAAACTAATTTCAGTAATTTATTTAACTCAATATATCCAAAATATTATCATTGCAACATGTAATCAATATATGTTTAACAATAATAAAATATTTTACATTACTTTTCCATACTACACTTTCAAACTCTACTGTGTATTTCACACTTATAGCATATCTCAATTCCCACCAGCCACATTTCAAGTGCTCAGTAACCATATGTGGCTAATGACTACCAGCATCACTCTATACTTGCTGATCCTGTCTGGGTTTCCCAATTGACTCCTTGGCTACCCAGTCCATGAGGACAGAAGACACTACTGCTAGTGATATTATTTTCATTTCTGAGGTAAGAGAGTGTGATAGTTGGAGTTGTGTGTCAATTTGGCTGGACCACAATTCTGAGTGGTTTAAGCAGTTGTGATGTGGGTTATTCCCATAAAGAGATCAGATGTATATGTTTTGAGCAGCCAATCTGTTGCAAGGGAGTTTCCCTAGGGGTGTGGCCTGCTTCCAATATATTTGTGACCATCCTGGAAAAAAAGACACTCTTCTGTGGTTCAGGATCCTGTTGTGCTGCCTACAACTCTCTGTGAGCAAACAATCCACCATTTGGCCTGGAGATCTTGGGTTTGTCATTTGTTGGAGTCAAGAGCTGGTATACTGCCTGCCAACCTTGAGCTCATCAGCCCTTGCATCTGCAAGAGTCAGGAAAAGCCTCCA